CGCGGTGCAATTTTGGTCACCGATCCACAGAAAGGATGTCTTGGAGCTGGAGAGAGTCCAGAGAAGGGCAACTAAACTAATTAAGGGGATGGAGAACCAAAACTATGAGACAAGGTTGCTAAATTGAAACATGTTCACGCTGGAAGTGAGGAGATTAAGAGGGGACATGATTTTGATGTACAAGATGTTTAGTGGTGATGGCAACATCAGCAATAAACTGTTTACTCTAAACTCCATAACAAAGACTAGAGGCCAACCCCTAAAACTGGTGGAGAAAAGATTTAACCAGGGGTGTAGGGGCTTTTTTTCAGTGAAAGCGGTTAAAATCTGGAACTCACTGCCACAAGCAGTGGTATCCGCAGAGAGTATTGAATCATTCAGAAATCATTTAGATACCTTTTATCAGAGACCATAACATACAGGGGTACAGGTACTCTTATAAACTAGACCACACAGGGACTCGTACACACGCATACACATGTACAATCACATACAGACACACAAAGGTTGGACTTGATGGACCTGTATCTTTATTCAACCTCAAATACTATGTAACTATAAGAATCTCAACACGTTTTTGGGTTCACACAACTCCTTCTTCATCAAGGCTTATATGTTGTGTAACTTCAGAAATGTCTGGACTTGAAAATATTTATAAATATCCCATCAAAGTTAGCACCAGCAAGTAATGCCGTGTGAAGCATTAGACATGTTTATAAAGACATGTTCCCTTTACATTACCGCTGTCATTTTGTAATATACAAAATATAAGGATTATGCGATGAGGAATCCTAGAACACTATGTATATGTACAGTATGTTTATGATGTAACCACCAATAGTTCTGTTCTGGAAAGCTATGGCTCTTACCATGCAGTGAGTAAGGTGCTGCTAATTATGTTTGTGTTCTGCAGATGGCAGAACAGTATGTTGTACACTATGCAGTGCATCTTGTTTTGTTTTTGAGTGTTAGAGATACCTGGAGTTTGGGAGCTGCCCTCTAGTGGAAGAACCACAGTGAGAGCTGTATGCTGACTGCGCCTGAAGTAGCTGGTATAATCAAGATTACTATGCAGTATATACCTGGCATAATTACACAGTTCTCCTCCAGGGTTCTTAAAGTGTTTATCTTTTGAGAGTACGCTACAGTAGAAGCACTTAAAATCCATGTTATTTTCTTTACTTCTACCATTCACAAATATGCATATAATATATATTAAGAACTGGAGAAAAATAAAGTTTAGGTTAGGTTTACATTAACAGCTTTAAGAACCATAGTTCAGGTTAAATTTTTCTTGCGCAAGGGATAAAAAGAAAAACAAATAAAAATCACATTTTCTCTGCTATAAAGAGTGTTCAGATCGTTGGTGCCAAGCCAAGTCTTACAATATGGCCCTCAGGGCACCTGTAAACAGTAGTCAGTGTTTTGGTGCTTACTTAAAGCCTATCTCTGGGCAAACCCAAAAAATACCTTTGGAGTAGGGCATGGGACTGGAGTAATGCACGTTTACTTACCTGTAGTCAGTGCTCTCCTCTTCTCCCTCTCCATTAAGGCTGGTGAAATCTCCCTCTGTGTTCTCACATACAATCTAGGGCTATGGAAGTTGAATTTTTGACAACATCAATTGGTAGCAAATGAGAGGAGTTCATTGCTAGGGTTTACATACACTTTAAAGCAACATACATGTTTATGAGGCACACATTTTGTTTAATACAGAAAAGACAAAAAACGGTGTCCTTGGAGGACAGGTAGTTGAAATATCAGATAAGCTTTAAGTTTAAGAATGTGGTGCCAGCCTATTTTTTAGAAGAGAACACTACAAGGAAGAAGACAAGATTTCAGCGTGTTTAGTTACTGGTTAGTCATAGGCCAATGCCCAACCCCTGCCATCTGATGTGACTGGTTTTCATACAAATACAGATAAAGATTTGCACAAAGGCACAACAAATATTTGTACCAAGCAAGTGTTCCTTCACAAGCAAGTAGCTTTTGTACATATGCTATATGACAACATACTTTACATAGAACAAGCCATTGGCTTCAGCCTGTGCGCCCACTGCAATTTATAGTCTAATCAACCAACCATAGCCACACTAGTACCTAGGGATGCACCGATACCGGTTTTCGTTATCAAGTACGAATTCCGATATTTATCTTTTGGTACCCGCTAATACTTATACCGGTATTTCTGCTAGCATCTCATTACCCACTGCCCGGCTATTTGATTGCCCGGGAAGCCGACTCCATGCTGTTTGTCTGGCTCCATGCTGATTGGCTGGAAAGCTGGCTTCCCAGCCAATCAGCATGGAGCCAGACAAACAGCATGGAGCCGGCTTCCCGGCCAATCCCCTCCATGTTCCCTCGCGGCACTGCCAGTCAGAGGAAATCTCCCTCGCCCAAACATTCGGTATCGGTGCATCCCTACTAGTATCCATATATACTTCTGAGTCGAACTGGTCAAAAGCGAATTTACCATCTTGTATGTATTTGGCCTGTGCGATGTGGACTCAGGATATAGTATGGCATCACAGCTAATCTCTAACTACTGCAGGTATACCTAGCAGATGTCATCTTACCATTCATACTAGGGTTGCACAGATACCAAGTACAGTACTCGGTACAAGTACGAGTACCGATACTTTTGAGCTCTAAGACTAGACTAGAGAAAAATTCAAAAGTTAGGAGGCAGCTGTCATTTGTAAGGAGCACACGGAGCTCCTGGGATTTGTACATCTCTGTTTTAATATATGATTTTATTTTTATAAATATAAATAAAGGGATGCACAGATACCAGTTTTGCGAGTACGAGTACTGGTACTTGCCGAGTACTTACAAGTACGAGTACTGATACATTTTTGTTTATTGTCATGTGACAGTTTTTCTAAAACAATATAGACTAATGATTTCAGGACAGTGGTGGAGGGCCAGAGCCAGGTCCCAACTGCAACCGCTGCAACCCTAGTAGTTCTCATGAAAATGCCAAGTATCTGCACTGGTACTCGAAATTTATCTGTGCATCCCTAATTCATACTATTGCATGTTTATTTACGAGAGATCAAGATTTAACCTTTGGAGATTCACCCTCTGTAATTGTCCAGGAAACCATCATCACTGAGATTGAAATTAAAAGAAAATCCTACATTTAAGCTGTCACCAGAACAAGAATATATAGGGAATCTTCCAATGGAGACACTAGTTCTATTGACCACCAGAGATTTCCCTGTCTTTGGAGGAATTTTCTCTCACTTCTTGTTGTGGCTATCCAAAAAATGTTTAAAACGTTTTGGCCTGAGTTCCACTTTCAATGAAGCTATGTCATGGTCTTTCATAAGGCTGAAAAGCTATTACACAGTGGAATTTTATGCCACAATGGTGCTCTTTGTATGAAATAAGTGTTACCAATTTCTCTAAGGCTGGGCACACACCTTACAACCATCGCAAGACTTTTGTCTTGCGATGGTTGTAAGGTACTTAAAAAAACGTACGATCTGCCTATCTTGCATAGGCAGATCGTACTTGCGATGATCGCAAGCCACGCCCCCTGAGGGGCGGGCTTCCGATGACCGCAATGCCGAACGGGCAGTGTGCGCTTGCGCACACCGGCCCGTATGGCTTTTATCGTACGGAGATGCCACAAACCCGCCGAACATCGTACGATGCTCGGTGGGTTTTCTAACATGTCCGTAAGTTTAAAGTCGTGCGACCTTACAGTAGTAGAGGTCGCACGGCTTCCACACACCTTACGATAATTCCTCCATCCATGCACAGTGCCGATGGGTGAATCCCCCCCTGTCGGGCTATAGTAGTCTGACAGTGAGAGATGTACCTCGGTCAGCATACTCAGTGACTGGTGCTGATTGGCTGCAGCTATTGTTTGGTCAACAATTGTACACCCGGCTCCTTCAAAATGAAGCATATCAGAGCGAGTTGTAGATATTGGAGTGAATTGCAGCCGGTTCATAAAGAAATTCGCTCCGTGTATTGTCAGCTTTATCTGAGAGGCAGAAATGGCTCATTGCTCAAGGAACCCCCTAGCAACCTCTGGATGAACCCTGGCTGCACTAGACACTAAGCCCTGGGAGACGTGCAGTCATGGCCAAAAATATTGGCACGCCTGCATTTCTGTCAGATAATGCGCCACTTCGTGCAGAAAGTTGTTGCAATTACAAATGTTTAGGCATTCTGTTTATTTATTTTTTTGTATTGGTATGACACAAAAAAGTGGAAAAAGAAATGAGGCCTTCAAAGATGAAAATACAGTCCCTACAGTCAAACATGGTGGAGGTTCACTGATGTTTTGGGGTTGCTTTGCTGCTTCAGGCACTGGATGTCTTGACTGTGTGCATGGCATTATGAAATCTGAAGACTACCAAGAATTCTGGGGTGGAATGCAGGGCCCTGTGTCAGAAAGTTGGGTCTCCGTCAGAGGTCATGTAGAGAGACTCAAAACAGCATTTGGGAAAAGGAACCCTTCCAATCTGAGAGACCTGGAGCAGTTGGTGAAAGAAGAGTGCTCCAAAATTCCTGTAGAGGGGTGTAAGAAACTTATTGATGGTTACAGGAAGCGAATATTTTCAGTTATTTTTTCCAAGGGCTGTGCTACCAAATATTAATTGAGGGTGCCAATAATTTTGTCCACTCCATTCGTGGAGTTTACAAACAAAAGAAATAAACATGAGAATGCCTAAACATCTGTAATTGCAACAATTTTCTGCACGAAGTGGTGCGAAATTGGTCCTTTGACAGTGCACGTTACAGAATGTGTCTTCCCTCACAATGAGCAATATACATAAGCGTGCAGCGCCTGTCATAACCAGGAAGTATTCTGAGCCAATCCACTGCCGGGAAGTCCTTAGAATCTCCGCCCACCCACCGGCATGCCTTATAAGGCAGGGAGTTTAGAACGCGGCTCAGGGATCGCTGGAAGGACAAGTTGTCATAGATTTGGATCACTCATAATACAACCGGCTGGGTTCTTCTTCTTCTTCTTCTTCTTCATCTTCTTCTTTACCGGAGCATTGCTTGGTGACCATGACACTGGAGGACAACGACATCTGTGACAATCATACATACAAGTAAGTGACAGCATGGCTACTCTTCAGCAGCTTATTATTTTCTTTCTAGTCTGCATCGCCCTTGTGGCTGGATCAGACTTGCGATGTCAAATACGATTGCACTATGTATAATGGGGACATTGTCAGATTGTCATCTGCTGTCTGTGTCTATGCAGGATGCATCCTGTTGCTTCTGCACTGGAACAGGTCCTCGAGGTGGCCCATAGACGTGACTCTTTGACCGTTGGGGTGTACGAGTCTGCCAAGCTTATGGACAAGTAAGTGGCATGGAGAAAAAATGATAACTACGCAGTTATATTGTACATTATGTTAGTAAGATTTGAAATGAAACCAGATGTACCTTTTGACTCTAGGGAAAATGTAATTGATGAATATGTTGTTTGATCAATATCATGTCCTCATGCCTACCTGCCACTTGCTGACACTAAGTGGCTCATTTCACTGGCTGTTGTATATTGTACCCCCTAAATCTGGCCATACATTGGTCGGAGTCCTGCTGCCAAAATTTGACCAGTGAGTGGCCCCTTGGGGCACACCCCACCTATATATTGCATGCTATCTTCAGGGGAGGTGTTTGCCATTATGGAGTCCAGGAGGTAATTCATTTAAAAACTATAAAGAAAACTTTTTGATTTCTTCCTGAGTCAGCATAATATACAGGGCTAGGGGAATTCTCAAATGCAATAGGAGGCAGATCTCTGAATTTATTTGAACACCATTATGGAGTCAGGAAGGTATTTATTTGTACTCTCAGCAAATTGGCCTATGCTTACAGGGGTAGTTTTTTGCCTTCGTCTGGATCAAACATATAAAACACACATACACAACACTGGTTGAACTTGATAGACCTGTGTCTTTCTCAACATTTTCTATATGTAACTATAACTAACTCAGCTGCCAGTTAGCAGTCAGGGCCAATTCACATCACGTTGTGTTGCAGTGCCATTTATTGTAATCAGTGTTGTGGTAAAAAAAAGAAATAGAGCACCAGCAAAGTCTCCTATATTGAATCAAAACAAATGGGTCCTGTTAATGCAGCCAAAAGAACGCGAGTTGGGGCTCATGCATTAACAAAAGGCGATCAGGTGTCTGTTATAGTGTATCATTTAGCACTGGGAGTTCGCAGAACATCATGAGGCATGTAAAATATTCCAGAGAGGCCAAATAGTCAATGCGTTAGTCACATGAAGTGTGAAATTATTGAACTTGTCCGGGTGAACACTCTCACAAATGAAAGCATATATTAACCAGAGACAAACTGCATCAGCAAAGGGGAATAGAGGCGACAAGCCAAAGCTTTTACACAGGGATAGTCAGTCACATAAGAGGGGAGATGCTACATTTATTTATTATTGGTATTTATTTAGCGCCGACACGTGATGCAGCAGTCTACACATTCACATCAGTCCCTGCCCCCAAGGAGCTTACAACCTAAGGTCCCTATCTCATGCATGTGTACGAGGGCCAATTAAACTACCAGCATGACTTTGGAGTGTGGGAGGTAACCGGAGGAAACCCACGCAAGCACAGGGAGAACATGCAAACTCCTTGTGGATAGTGTCCTGACTGGGATGCTACAAAAGTATACGTATTCCAGAAATCAATCAGTGGCATAGTCTCAACCAAAACTACACATATCCTGGTGTAAGAGGGGAAAAATGTGGGCCACTGAGCAACGAATAAAAGTAACATGGTCCGATTAAGTCATCTTTCTCGTTCACCCTGCAGTTAGTTTGGATTGACTTGATGGATGCCTTCAACCCACATTACGGACAATTTCTTAAAGCCTCTATCTCTACTTTAAAAAAGCTGCTCATTTTTGTCTAGAGGACCAGTGTAAAGCAGTTTTACAAATTCCTCCATCTATGCCAAACTGTGTGGATGGAGGAATCTCCCGCTGGGCCAAGCTTCAGTATCTTGCTAGTTGGCCCCGCTGGCTTTCAAAATACCTAGAAAATGACTGCTATAAATCAGATTGTTCAGTTATTTTGACAGCAAGTTTGGCCCAGTGGGAGATTCCTCTATCCAAATATCACATAAGTCATCCTTTACCAACCAGGGTTACACGGTACCCTGGGGTTCCTCCTGAGGATGCCATGGGTTCCTTAATAACCACCTGTGCAAGAGAGCACTTCTATACTGACCATTAATATTAGGGAATACCACAATTTTTACAGTCTGCATTTCTTCATTATCATTCATATCAAGATTATTACAGAAAATATTCTTGGTTTTTTATAGAGCACAGGGTTAGGGTGGTGTAAAAAAAACTCTCTGGTTTAAAATATGATTTATTCTTTCATTTAAAAATGTCTACACCTGGTTGACCAGGCTAATGTTCTGTAAGCTGTAGGCATAGTCATTTTTTGCAGGGATTCCCTGAGACCTGAAAAATATTTCAAGGGTTCCCCCAGGGTAAAAAGGCTGATCTGTGATCAACTGGTCTCTTTTCTAGCGGAAGTAATAATTTAACCTCAAAGTCTTTATTATTCACATAACACAAAAGTCCTAATAAGTCGTAATAATTAGTCATATTTATGACATTTTTTGAGCAGTTATTTGCTTTTCCAAACTTCTTGATATTGGGTTTCTGGATAAGAGATGATGTAGAACAGATGGCTAAACAGAAGTCTGTGAAATGCCACTTAATATAACATTTTTCATTATCCAGATTTACTGTATTCAAAATGTTAAAGAATGTATTAAAAATTATGTACTAGAAAACAAAGCATACATCATTAAAGGAGAACTATGAGATAAGTGATTTCCACTCACCACATAGTTCTAGCCGACCTGTGACAATGAGACTGTCACAGGTCGGCTCAGTAGATCGGAAGGTGAGCGAACACATACCAGGTTCGCTCAATTGTGTAGACCAATACAATTTTATTTGCAGCCAGTATACTGTTTCTGGTGTGTTAAGTTCCAAAACAGGCTTATGGTTCTTGTCATGATTGCCTGTATAAAACTTAACCCCCGGGGCTATAGCAGCTAATTTCAATTTAGAAAAACTAAGCAGGGTACCTCTTCACATGACCACCATTTCAAAAGGATTAGAATGCCTGTTTTACATGATCTCTGAAATATGTGTTTTCTCTTTTCTTTGACAGAGACCCTGACAGTGTGGTACTGTGTCTTCTAGCAGCAGATCCAGAAGTTAATGATGTCGCTTTGAACATTCATTTCACACTGATACAAGCCTTTTGCTGTGACAATGACATTAACATTTTGCGAGTGTCCGGCTTGCAACGCTTGTCAGAAATGATTGAGCCGATGATTGGACCAAGCTCAGAACCCCTAGACCTTCACTGTATTCTACTCTCGGTAAGGTTCCTAATAAAGTTCACCAAAGACCTGCAGGGTTATTCACAAGAGGGTGAAGATTTTGGAGAAGGCAGAAGAAGTGAACAATCTAGTCCAAAATAGGTGAACTGGAAAGTGAGTTGAAATGGAGAATTTTTCCACTTCAGCTATTTTGGCCTAGATTTTTCACTTCTCCTGCCTTCTCCAAACTCTTCACCCTTTTGTGACTAACCCTGCTAGTGTTGAGGTTTATGTGCCGCAATCTAACTCTATAAGTGACAGTGCAAACACAAACAGGGATTTAATTGTCATTAAATGTTCATATTTTTATATAAAACAAACCCCCGATACTCACAGGAGAATAAGAATACATAAACATCAATAAAAATCCAGACTGATCACAGCATATCGAATAGCTATGTTCATTGAGTCTGTAAATAGTTTGAACCATACAGGAGACCTGATTAAGGTTTGGTCTTTTAACAACCACATTAGGTAGTAAATGGAGGACAAATAGGGTTGGCATTACAAAGACACCAGTGAATGCTCTAAATTTCTTAGCGGAAATAGATCTTATTACATAAAAACATCAAACTTAATAAGGTAGTCAAATTTTTTTCAGACGTTTGAGAACTACCAACCAATAAAATGCTTTAACTAATTTAATGGTAATAGCAAAAGATTCTTCGGCATATTCAAAGTGGGGGATACTATGTCATAAAGCTGTCTGTCGGGAGGAGGTGGGATAGGCAGCATTTTGTTGCACACACTGGACTCTGTTCAGTAAAGCTATTGGGCATGGGCATGATTGTATCCCAATTACAAGCATCAAACCCCTCCCCAGCGTGGAATGGTAAATAATCTAAAGCAATACTTTCCTCTCATTAGCTGCATAGAAAATTTTACTACTATGCTAAATACCTGTTAAAGTATGTCAGCGCTTTTACTATAGTACCTTCTTTTGTCAGGCAACTTGTTTTTATGTTAGGTGGCACAGTGAGGAATATTCCCATCTATCTATCTATCTACATATATATTAGAAAACACTTTACAACAATGAACCTGAACTGAAAGTAACTTACAGATGCAGATTGTATGGTATAAATATAGTGTCTGTAGTCTTTATAGTACATCCCTCACAAGCCTGGTAAATTCAAATTTAGCATAGTTTATATTTATTTCAGTTAGGCTAAAGCTGGTTATACACCACTAGAATTTTGTTTGAAAAAAAATATTTTTGGAACATTAGTTCAAATTTCTAATGGTTAACGGGGTCAAGTCGACGTTCCTTTTCCACCAGAGTGACCAAAAAAAGGAGCAGGATTTTCTTGAAGGAGCAAGATCCTAACAGTGAATGTAGTTTTTGTTTGGTACACTCCATCCATTCCAAAAACCGTTACACAAAATGAGACATTCATCAAGTCTTTGATGACATAATCAAATGGTCTGACAAGATTTTTCGTATGAACATTCGTATGAAAATCTATAAGTGTATATCCAGCTTAAGTCTTAAACTAAGATTAACAGGATTATTCACAAAAGGGTGAAGAGTTTGGAGAAGGCAGGAGAAGTGAACAATCTAGGACGGGTGCCCACAATTTTTTGTGTTAAGATCTACTTTTCAAATGACGACGAGCTACATGAGATCTACCAACGAAAGAAAAAACCTCCCTCTCTCTCTCTCTCCCCTGGCTGTCTCTCCTTGCTCATCCTCCAGGCTGTCTCTCCTCTCTCTCCTTGCTGTCTTACCTTGCTCTCTCTCATGGCTGTCATTCCTCGTTTTCTCTCCTGGCTGTCTCTCTTCGCTCTCTTGGCTGTCTCTCCCTGCTCTCTCTCCTGTCTCACCTTGCTGTATTTTGCAAACAGTGTAGTGCAACAGGCTGTGTAAACTAATAATCTTTGATGTAATACATAGCACTTCAACCACCAGAAAGGTGTCAGGGAGCTTGGCTCAGCAGACTCAGGCTAATAGGTAATCATGCGTGCACAGCTAAATAAATATACCAAAATGGAATAAAGGGGCCACCATTCACACCCTTCGTGATCTACCGGCATCAGCTTTGAGAGCTACTGGTAGATCACGATCTACCTAATGGGCACCCCCGATCTAGGACAACATAGCTGAACTGGAAAGAGCTGAATTGAATAATTTTCAAAATCAGCTATGTAGCCCTAGATTGTCCACTTCTGCCGTCTACAAACTCTTCACCCTTTTGTGAATAACCCTGTAAGACTTTTTCAACAATAACAGATCTTATTTAACGTTTTTAGCTACTGCTGATCTCTTACAATATTTTTCTTTTCTTTTCAGATTCATCACAACAATCCTTGGAAATGTTCAAGTTTGGATGAGATCTTTAATTACTGTGCTGAATGCCGGTCCAGGAACCAGTGGGTTCCTTTTATGTCATTAATGGACCGGTGATATTACTCAATCCATTCCATGTCCGTGACATCGTGAACAAAACACAGTGGAAAAATGGAACTTACTGTCTGTGTGGATTATGTTCAAACTGTGCCATTCTTGGTGTTATGGAATATTAATAATGTGCGGTCAATGGCAAAACCCTAAAACTTAACTTGACACTCTATGAACAAACACATTTTTATATTTTCAAGTAAAGAAGCAGCTGGATCTGCCATCTCTTTAACCCATTTTATCATGGAAAAAACTCTAAATGGAATTAATTTTATGCATTTTTGGGGCAAGATTTTTTTTATTTTATTTTTTGCCAGTAGCGGTGCCTTTTATAATGGAAACATTCCCTGGATCTTACCATTTTTACCTCAAAGTTGTTAACCGGAACAAATTCCTTTTAGCCTTACATCAAATTAGCAATTGCCTCCTGTGACACTGATTTACAAAGCGTTTACACTGGATAGAAAAATATCTTTATGAATGCATTCCACTATCTTGCCAAATTTAAATGATTTCAATGCAAAAATGGATGTAGGCCAGCCACTTCCATGTTTAATTTTCCTAATAAATGTTTGCAATTGTTTGGGAGTCAGTGTTCTCTGTATGCTATATGTGTGGCTATTTTCTGTAAGATAATTGTATTTAATAACATAGAAAAAAACAATTCTGTACGAAACCCAGCTTTTGTTGTAAAATGGCATTGGTTCCATAATAAATGGATACAATGTTAGAGGTATTTCTCACTTGAAGTGTAAGATAACATGTACCTGGATTTAGATTCCTCTGTGTAGTGGCATAGTGGAAGTGGATGCCGATTAGTCCTCATTCACACACGAATCGGCTGGCACGTACAGCTCCGTGCTGCGCGCGGGGCCGTACCAAGCAGCTGCCAGGAAGGACAGGTGCTGCGTGTGATTAGTACGCAGCTCCTGTTCTTCTCTATGGGGCTAAGCGGCCGTACGCCCCCCTACGCTCACCTCAATTGCAGGTCCGTAGGGGTGCGGCTGATCGTATTCATACGCCGCCGGAATGGATCCTGTCTGTGTCCCGGCCAGAAAACCCGCACCACTACAGACCTGCAATTGAGGTGAGCGTAGGGGGACGTACGGCTGCGTAGCCCCATAGAGAAGGACGGGGGCTGCGTACTAATCACACGAAGCACCTGTCCTTCCCGGCAGCTGCTTGGTACGGCCCTGCACGGAGCTGTACGTGCAGGCCGATTTGTGTGTGAATGGGGCCTTACTGTGTTCCCATACAAAACAACAATATGATGTTCATCTTGCCCTTTTTTGTTTATCTAATGGCAGATTAAGTCACATATAACAATTCCACTATGTGGTCATAGATTTCTTGTAACAGAAGCTGAAAAATACAGATGATCCAAGCTACTAGTATAGGTATGCCATAGTGATCCAATTCTGGGATAATTGATATCTATTATAAGATAATCACTTTAAGCAAAAACTTTTAAATTTAATTCTGAGTATAGAATAGACTGAAGTATAGCCAACTGCCATCAAGAAATTCTTTTTACTGTTTTTGCTGTTGGCTGTTGGCTTATTCGACATATTAGCACCTTGTTTTAAACCCTAAATGTTTAACTCCATTTTGGATGGAGCTGGGAAGGGTTGGGGCCTCTGTAATGGTTTATTCAAATGTATTACAAAAAAAATTTGGACCCCTCTATGTAGGAGGATTAAATATCTGGTAGTTTTCTCTGAAAAATCTTAGACCATGTATATAAGATTTTTAATTCATTTTATTATGATAACACAATTTATAGTAAATAACTAACACAAACATCAAAACAGTAAGAAAACCCCCCACTGCTGTATATAAAACATCAACCCATTAATCTCCTCAAAACACAAACTAAAAAGAAAGTGCTGACAGGCAGGAAGAAGCTTCTATGGCAGAAGAGACTTTAGCAGTGATAAAAAGCCTGCCCGTCAGTACTTTTTAAATAAAAACACTTCACTTCCACTTTAAATTGGCAAGGGTTAGAACTTCTTAAAATGTTTTTGTGGCTTTCTGTCTTGGTGACAACTGAACCCCTCATTTCTTGTACAGACACATGAAGTGAGGTCACAGATAGAAATAAAAACCTGAGAGAAATTTTAGTCTTTCTATACAAGAAAATATATCCATAGAATGTGCATACTTTTTTTGTGTGACTTGCAGTTAGGTGGCTTTTTCATGTCCCATTTTAGTTTTTTTTTACTAGACTACATTCCAGCTTCCTTCATTTTAGTCAAATATCTATTTATTTCCATTTCACTATTATCATTAGTATATGTTTTACAGTTCAGCAGACCGTTTAAAAAAAAAACAAAACAATGTCAAAAGAATGATTCCAGCCTTGGAAAAAAATAAAATAAATACACACATCTTCTTAAAAAAATGGGCATTTTTTTTGCATAGGAGCTAGTAAAGTATTACTGGGCACAGTGCTCTGACACCTGCAGACTGTTCCTTATATCCATGTCTCTGTACTGAGGTACAGACATTCAGTAACATGGGTGGGAGGAAGTGTCAATGGACTACAAGTGTGGTGATGTCACTGCACTTGTATTCCATTGAAACTGCAACATCGTCTGCCATGGTGGCTGATAAGACTCAGTTTCTCCATTCACAGATACTGTGAAACAAGGATGAAACATGGTCAGAAAGGTAAACTTAGCCTTTAATATAATCTTAGCCATGATGCTATTTATTCTTCGTGTGGTCTAGCACCTTATATGTTATGTATATGAGCTATTTAGATATGAACACAGACATTTCTCCAGGTTTATTGTATAGTTCAAATTGGTGACCAGACCTGGGTTTGAAGATCTTCTCCAACTGTGTCTTTAGCCCCATAATCCCACTAGGGCTCATTCATACCATCTGCATTGATCAGGCCACGTTTACGGGAAGGGCTCATAGAAAACAATTGTTTTCTATGTGCACTGTTGACACCATTCATTTGTGGTGCAGTGCATAAATATGCAGCATATCTGCTTCTTTACACAACAGGCTACAATGTACAGCAGTGCATCACAACGAGCTGTTGTGTATAGAGCTGAATGGAGTGGTTTTGGTCAATGTTCAATAAAATTACAAACAAAAAGGAAAAATGTAAACACTGTAATGCATTGTTATAACTCATCGCAGGCAGCATGGGTTCACACCGCACGCCAGCGGGAATGGGTTAACGAGCCTTTAAAGTATACTTTAAGCAAGCAAGTATTTGCCATTTTGCAAAGTAGAATATGTCAACTAAGAATCGCTGTTTTATGCAAACATTTTTTATGAAGTATATAAGAATATATAGCAGTGTGCAGATAATTAATTTAGAACATTCAGCATTTAAATCTGGTGTTCTTAGGCTGTTCACTCCAGACCTATATCTGTGCAAATGTTAATATTTTTAAGGGCTTGTTTACACCTCAGCAACTTAACTTCATGAAACACTGCACCTAAAGTGCATGGTGAGTTTTGTTTTAATGGCACAATTTGTACCCATGCAGCTTCCTATTATGCATGTTTTCAAAATCCCGTTTGCTTACCTCCCAACTTTGTGACATAGGAAAGAACGCATTATAGCACAGAGCATGTGGGCAAAGGATACACCCCTGCCATGTCTCCAGTGATGCTAAGAAGAATAATGTAAAAAAATAAAATGATGGTTTAATTCTAAAATCGCTTTTTTCATCACTATGCTTTCTTTATTTTGGCTTTTCAAAATAACAACTGAAATAATTTAAAGGTTAGATAAATGGTTTAGTGCATATGTGTCAAACTAAAGGCCCGGAATTATCTTTGGCCCGCATGATAATATTTTATTATCATTAGATCTGGCCCGCCGGTATATTGCCCACACTCAGGTCCATAGGAAGGGCGAGGCGGTCTCACTCGCCTTGGGCAGAGGCTGGGTGGGGGTGCAGCCAGGACCCTGGTATTCTGCCAGTTGGGGGGACTGAGGAGCCGGAGAGCTGCCGCCGGCCAAAGGACTGCATCACCCCGCAGGCAGCAACACAGCACGAAAAGGGAGGTGTGGCCGTGAAGTGACTGAGGGGGGGTCCCGAGGTCCAGTCCAGACGACGTGAGGTGCTCCCTGGCGGGAATCAGGATCCAACACAGACGACGGAGACACTGTCAGTCAGTCAGTCAGTATATCTCCCACCTTCTTCTGTACTGTAGAAGTCATGGAGAAGAAGGGGAGTGATATAAGCCACGCATTCGGGTGCCGGCGATCGCACTGTGGGCGGTGTGTGGCTGCGGTGCCATTGACTTCAATGCTCCGCCACGCCCCCTCCTGCCCCAAAACAAAGTGACCTGGCCGGGTGGCGTTCCAGTGCATTCCAGAGGCCGAACGCACTGGAACGCACTCTTTATGGTGTGACTGGGCCCTCAGGCTCAAGCACTGCCTACGTGTGCAGTGTGTCATGTCATTTTCTCTCCGGCAAGTCAGCTTGCAAGAGCGTGCATAGCTGAGCGTGCCAAGATGAAAAATGTAATCTTCAGCCAATCAGCTCACGTGTATAAACCCGCCCGTCAAGATGCGAAGGCCATTCGGTGGTTATAGGCCGCCGTATTATACTGTGGGATATACTGTATAGACCACGGTATTATACTGTGTGATATACTGTATAGACCATGATATTATACTGTGTTCACATAGTTACATAGTTACATAGTATTTGAGGTTGAATAAAGACATTAGTCCATCAAGTCCAACCTATTAGGATCTCATTCTAGGAGTACCCGTACCCCTGTATATTACGGTCCCTTAAGAAATCGTCCAAAAGTTTCTTGAACAATTCATTTCAATAAACTGTGAACCAGCCCGGCCCTCGACTTGGAGCATTTTAAACATTTTGGCCCACTGTGGATTTGAGTTTGACACCCCTGGTTTAGTGCATTAAAACACTTTACACAGTTAAATATTTCCCATAGAGAGCTGTACATCAGGCCAAAAAGAGGGATAGCTGATGAACAAAGAATGAGGGACAGTTGGGAGCTATGTGCTTCCTGTAGTTTATTTGCTGTTTCCCAAAGACATGAATAGCAGCCCATGTAGTATACCGTATATACTGTACATGCATGCATACAAAATTCTTAACTTCAAGATGGTGTCAGTGTGTTCAGTATTGAGATTTCTGGACCTGGACTTTCTGACATGTGGTCTTATGGTAGCAGCATTTAGGGTGGTTCCTTATGCGCAATATTGTGCTTCTTTCTCTTCATACCAAGCCAGTCCACCTTGGGAA